GGACCTAAAAGCGACCACACCACACGACGCGCGCGATACGGCGCTTTGTCGAGGGTGGCTGCAGCGCGGCTATATACGCAGCAGGCCTGCAGGCCGGGCCGGCCGAGCAGGGGCATTATTTCCAGTCACACTGGGCATGGTGGTGGTATGGTGGTCGTATAGGGAGGTTGGGTGATTACGAGATTGGGTGATCGTGCGGCTGGTTTTGTGATGACCGTCAGGATGGTTACTTTGGGTGGGTGGGAAGTGGTTGGGTGGTGATTGGGTAGTGGGTGTTTGAGCTGTTAAATGATTATGTGGTGGGTTGGGTGGTGTAGTAATGTGGTACGTGTGTGGTGTTGTGGTTGGGTGGTGGCTGAGGAGGAGGAGGAAGAAGAGGAGTTGAAGAGGGTGGAGAAAGTGGAGAAAGTGGAGGAAGTGGAGGTGGTGGAGGAGGAGAAAGTGGAGGAGGTGGAGGAGGAGGAAGAGGAGGTATGGAGGAAGGGAGGAGCGGGAGGAGGAGGTCCTCCTCCTCTGCAGCTCCCTTCATTATTCACAGTCGACAGAGAGAGGAGTACCGCGCGCGCGCCGTGAAAGGAAAAGCGAAAAGGAAGAAAGAAACAAATAAAAATCAAGTGAAAATAAAAGCAGCAGGCCTGCTGAGCCCGCGCGAGGTAATGCGGACCAAGAGTAAGTGGGCCTTATTGATTGTAGCGGGGGCACAGTGCCACCGGCGGGGCGGCAGCGCACTGCATGAGGGAGTGGGGAGGGGGGGTGAGATAGTGAGAGATAGAGCGGAGCCGGAGGAAGGTGGAGGGCTCGGAGGTCACAGGGATGGTGTTACCCTCTGTGCACAAATATATTTGCGCGTTCTGCCCACAAATATGCAGCCTAGGGCGAGCAGCGAGCAAACGCTGCTATTGGAGGAGAATGCGGAGAATCACCTCCTCTCGCTGCACGGATGTGGCGCCGTGGCGCCCGCCTCGCGTCTCGTCAGCGTCGCTCTAATGGCCTTCCCTATCACGGCGGCGTTACGGGGCAGGGCCGGGACTGGGGCCTCCAGGCCGCCAGGCCGCCACCGCCGCCGCCGGGGCCGGGCGAGAACGAGCTTTAGGCAAGTTTCAGTCTAATCCTGCCCCGTCCGCAGCAACTTACGGGGAGGACTTACAAGCACCCGTGTGTTCAACAGGCCCCGGGCCGGCCCGCGCCAGCCCCACCGCAAGTCTTTGTCGGGTTGATTCGCCGCAGCAAGCAGCCCCTCAAAGTTTAAGACGCGCGGCGGAGAGCGGGAAGGGAAGGGAGGGAGGGAGGGAGGG